CTAATTTCAAATTAATTATTTTTATTCAAAGACAAACTAATAGTGTGTATGTTTTGGTTTAATTATAAAACTTTTAAATTTATCATTGAATAAAATGTTGACCTCAATATGCAAATATGAATGATATTAAAAAACAATTATTAGGAAAAGTTCTCTGCGTGAATAGATTTGTATATAAATGGGTTAATTAGCCCAATTCCAAAAAAAAAACTTTTAGTTGCAAAGTTCTATTATTTCATATATAAATGTATTTATGTTTATATTAGAAAAACGAAGAAGAAAAAAATAACCAAAAATTGCCTTATTTTTCAAATCTACTTTGAATTGTAATTTTTATAGTAGATATACAACCGAAACGTATGAAATAATTTATGTAAGTTATCAATTCATATAAAAACATTTTAAATATTGTAGAATATGTGAATGTAATGTTACAACTATTTTTTTTAATGATATTGAATAATTTATGCAGATTTTAAAAGTTGTACAGATATGTTAAAACAAATGAAAACAAAAACCGTTAAAGTTTTAATTTAATTTAGTGAATTTTATCTTGACTTTAAATTATGTTTCTCTGGTATTTTATAACCACAATTTACCTAGTTTATTTTACTCTTGTTTGAGTTTAAATTCAATCGTAATTTTTATAGTAGAAATCGATACATTTTTCAGCTAAATAGAATAAATAATGTAAGTAAGGGGCAGAAAGAGCTATGGTCAATAGCCCTTTGAAGCAGTTAACTTTTTTGATTTATGATATTTATATTATTGCATTGAGTTTTTTTATTTTGTTATTTTACTGTTTCGATAAATATTATCATTATTTTTATTTATTAATTTAAGTAAGTTATTAATTAATGAAAAGAAATTGTCATATTAAGGATGTTTAATATTTTTTAAGCAATTTGTAGTCTCCTTTAATTGTGTTTTATTTAGATTTTCTTATAATCATAATCTTGAATTTTTTAGTAGTTGTATGAACATATATTGAATTATACATATATAATTATAATTCTTTAAGTGTAATTCTTTAACTATAAAATGTTTGTTTTAAAAGTTGTTAATGGGACTTTTACTCTGCTCGAGTTGAATTCATTCATGAATGAGAGATAAGATTCATCGTTTAAATGTAACTTTAATGATAAATAATTGTACTTTACTATTTTTCCAACAATTTTATTGAGTCCAACAAATATGTGTATAAACGTGATTTGTTTTTATAATACGAAGCAAATCGAGGACGGTCATATTTTAGTTGTAATTTTATGGAAATCCTGAGTATGTATATTTTTTTTAATAGCGTCGTGCGTTTTAATTAAATGTGCGAAGGAGGGTGGAAAAATAAAAGACGCCGGTCGTTGTCAGGTGGTAAAACAAAAACGAGAGACATTCCGGCGATGACCTAGATTCGGGGCAATAATAATAAATAAATAAATAACGAAATAAGTGTGTAAATAAAGAATGCGTACACGACAAATTAGTTAAATTTTCTGAATACCTAATTAATATTTGTGGTTAAGTGGGTGGTTTAGAGTGATGGAAGGAGGTTAAAGTTTTCTCGTTCCACATCCATAAATTTCTCGGAAGAAATATCACATTTTAACATAATATTATTATTATTGGGATCGGGTAATTTAGCTGTCCTTGCGTCGCAGTTGGTCAACTCTCTTTCTCTCTCTCTCTCTCTCATTCCCTTCTCTTCCCTTTCTTTATTTCTTTCTTTGCGCCCACAGCTTACGCGATAAGACAGGTCAAGCACACTACGGCACGTGATCGTGATTTCTCCCTTCGCGAAAGTAAAGGGCCTTGAAACGGTTTTTCTTCGGTTGAAAACAAGCGCGCGCGCCATCCACCCCCGAACCACCCCAGACCAAGTCGTCACGCACCACCCTTCATCCCTTCCACCCCCATCGTGACCACTCTACACTGACCGCCGCATTAATGAATGCATTATTCAAGTGGGCCTTGGGGGGAAGGAACAAAAAAAAAGACCGAAAAACCCTTCACTCGTGAGCCGCCCTTCGGAGCGATCGCACCGCACTAGTCTTCCAGCAGCGGTTGCTCACACACACACATATTAAAACCACGCAGTAACACTAACCTGCAGACAAATGCTGGATTTCGATATCGACGACGATACACCCTTCGCCGTCCTCACTGTCCCAACGATGGTAAGAAATCATCGCGAATATCCATTGAATCCAAAAAGCTTTTAACAACATTCTCCTTAAACCCAATCAAATAATTTCCAACTGTCAATATTACTACACTGTCACTTAATATTACTACTAGATTGTATTTTATCAATATTTTTTAAAACATTTAACATCTGTTTAGTTTCTGTCATCATTAGTATATTGTTTAATAATGCTACTAGATTTTATTTCTGTTTAATTATTTTCATGTATTATCAATTTTGCATTTTTTTTTTTAACAAAGCAATAATTTTGATTAAGTTTCTTAATGTTTTTTAAACAATACATTATTATTATTTTTGTACGTTTTATTTTAAATAACAAATCAAAGGAATCCAATAGTATTTTGATATTTAATCTAATTTTAGCCTATTAATTTCTTACTGTCAACCTTAGTACAGTATCATAATGCTACTTGATTTTATTTTATCAATATTTTTAAAATTTCTGATTTTAACTTAATTTTTGTTCAATAATTTGTATCTGCCCTTTGTATGTCGTTAAACAACACATTTTGTTTATTGTTTCTATATGTTATCATTATTATTCTTTTATTTCATATAACTATTAGATTTTTCTTTATCAATATTTTGTAAAGCATTTTACTTTTCAACATTAGTATATGTATTATTAATATTATCAATACTTTTTAAAATATTTAACTTTTTTTAAATTTAATTTCGATAAAATAATTTACAGGTGTCAAAATTTGTATAGTGTTATTTGGAATAGGGTACATGAATTTATAAGAAATCTTTGGACTTAAATTTAAGAGAAAGCAATAGGAATCTGCCGAGGAGAGATTGTTGAGTGGATTATTAAGATGTTGAATTTTGATTAGAATGAGAAGGGTAGTTCGTTTGGATACTTTTTTTTCTATTTATCAATAAAATATTACTATTATTTGCATACATTTTATTTTAAATAAAAAATGAAATTAATTATCTGTTGTTTGCTCTAATTCTTAACAAGTTTCAAATGAAAATGTATCTATCTTCATTACTATAGTATTGTTGTTTAATAATACTACTTGATTTAGTTTCTTTAAATATATTTGAAAGACATTTAACTTTTTCTTTCAATAATTTCTCTACGTCATTATTAGTGTATTGATTTTATCATTTTCATACCGTACAGTAACAAATTAAATATATAAAATAATCTTTTGTTCATAATGTGTTTAACATTTTTTGAAAAAATAATCTTTTAACTTTTTCTGTTTAACAATTTTCATATTGTTTATTTGAACATGTCGACAATTTTAATTTCCCATTAATCTTCCCCCAACAATCTTTATACAATTAATTTAATAATGTATATCTTTCAAAGAATAAAGTTTTTTCTTACATATTTTCTTTGTTTTTAAAAATAAATCTATAATTAATTTAATTTCTTCAATTCAATGTTTCAAGTAATAATTGTTCGTTTGGTCTAAACAGCAATAAAAAGACAATCGTAAAATCCATACATTCATACTGTACACGTACAGATATTACGTTTCCCTTTATTTTCTTTGTGGTCGACGAAAATTTGCATTCACTTGCTGGAAGTTTTCGTGTCCATAATTCAGTTTTTTTTGGGAAAACAATCTCAATCTCAATTTCATTTAATATTTATGCCTTCCGATTTGAATAATTCTAGATTTCCTTTTCGTTTATTTTTCATATTCATTTTATTTTTATTACCTTTTACATTACACTTACTTCATTTTCAAAGTTATGTTTTCATCAATAATGTAAATTAATCACTGATCTATAGAATTTATGATTTTTTTTTTATATATTTTTACTTTTGTTTTTAATATTTAACCATTCTTTTTTTTATGTTGAAATCTTGTTTTCAATTTTTATTTATTTTGTAGAATGTACAAATTTCGTTATAATTTTTTGTTAAAAAAATATTTTAAACAAATTTATTACTGCAAATTTCAAACGTAATAACTGATAATTCATTATCAATCTCTTCAGAAAAGTGAAATCTTCTGATCATTTCTTAATATTTTTATTATCTGTCCGGATTCACTGTGAAAATGTCAAAACAAACTAAATTTTAATTGAGTAAAATCAAAATTGGTACACAAAATAATTTCTTTTTATCTTTTTTCATTTATACAATATCAAAGGGCGGTTTATTTTTATCCGGTTTAAAAGTCTTCAATTAGTCCGGTTTCAAATAGTTTTGGATATTGGAAGAATTATCTACACTATACGAGGTATTGTAGTTAAACAATATTGTTATTGACAATTTAGAAAATTTATTGATCTGTTCGATCAAAGGACTGACGTTTTTGTGCCCTATTTCATTTATTTAACTGATTTTAGTGTGAACATATTTCATGATTTTTCTTAAAAACTAATTGAAATAATCATTCATTAGAAACTTTGATTATTACAAAATTACAAGATAATAAGTTATAAATCTCAAATTATAGTTATAAATAGATTCTAAGTGCTATAAATCCCAAAAATTCCTATAATAATGAGCAATTTCAAAGGATATCATAAAACTACTGTATATAAATCGCTGTTTTCTCGTGTGGCGCTGTTGAAAAATCTGCATTGAATTGTTGAAATTTCGTGTGTGTAATTGGGGGGGTGCTTCCACTTTTGACCTTAGCGTTCGAAAATCTCGTTCTCCACCCCCCCAACAAAACACACATAAATCGCGCACGTTTCGATTTGCATTCGAATTCGAAGTGGCCGTCGCATAAATATCACCGTGTCGGCAAAATCGATACCGAACAAAACAAAACAAACAATTGAAACCTTCGTTTTTTTTTCTAATTAATTGTCGTTCTTTTTGCAGGCGGCGAGTTACGGGAAGAAGAATGGCATTTGGTACGCATCGCCCGGTGGACAGGGTTGGAGCAAGGCGCCCAGCCGTAAAGCGTCAATCGTCGAAGCTGATATTCCGCCGCCAGGTGGCGGTGGAGGTCCTTCCGTTAAGCCGAGCTCCGGTAGAGTTATCAGGATCGTCAATAACATGGATCACACCGTTCAGGTAAGAGATTTTTGTTTTATTTCAACAACTGACTCGCAAAATGGAATGAATTATCGAATATTAGATTAGTTTATACGAGGAAAATTGTTTCACTATACGAGTAAAAATCCGGAAATTTTGAAACGGATTATGCTCGTTAAGCGAGGTTCCACTGTATTTCAATAAACATGTTTTCGAAATTTTTCATCACAAATAAATAATTTATATTTATAATTAAACTTATATTTAAAACATAAGTTTTTGAACATTTTTTCAACTTATTTAATATTTAATGACCTACAAGAATATAACAAAATCAAATATATTATATGAAAAACCAGTTAAATAGAAACTATATCTATATGATCATTATATAAAACCGGTTTTAGAATTCGAATATTTCAAGAAAACCGGTTTGATCATATGTTAAAAAAATAATAAATAATAATTATATTTATTTAACAAAACAAAAAGTTTTTTATTTTAATTTTGGGTCAACTTCACAACGTCAACCACAAATAAACTGATTTTTAAATTCAAATATTTATAAATAACGGTTTTCAATATTTTCCTATAGAAGTACAGACATAAATATTATTTTTATTCAAGAAAATAAGTCTTTTGAATATTTTATATAATATATTCTATGCAAAATCAAGTAAATTATAAAACAACTAAAAAAATTAACAATTTGGAATATTTAACATTGATAAAACTATAAATGTTACTAAAAAATTGTAATTTACAAAATTTCCACTGAAAATTTACTTTATCCATGTTTATTGTAGATACAAAACCGATTGAAATAGAAATTACTTTCTGACTAGTCTTACGATTAAATTTTCTTCAAATAGTGAATTTAATTTTTAATTATATTATTTATTATGTATTAATTTTAGAATTAGCGGAAAGATGTTCAATAGAAATTGTTAATATGATTTTTAATTCTTATTTATAATATTTAAAACTGATTCTAAAATATTTTAAATCGGTTTTGAGAATTTTTAAAAATATATAAAAGTATCTGTTACTCAAAAACGACAAAATCCAATAATTATTTTGTTTCGTTTTCTTTAAATTTCAGTGTAGGGTGTTGCTAAATCTACGGACTTCACAGCCTTTCGAGGAGGTACTGGAGGATTTGGGGCAGGTGTTGAAAATGAACGGTGCGAAGAGGATGTACACTGTGGCTGGACAAGAAGTTCGCAGTTTTTCACAACTAAGGAACGAGTTTGCAGACGTGGACACATTCTACTTGGGTGGTGGCCCCGTTGGCGCCGGTGTCGTTCTTTCACCGGCCAGAAGGTCCAGATCTAGGGCCCCATTAGCGGCCGCCCCAGTAGAGGATCTCAGCAAGCAAAGAAGGGCACGCAGCAAGAGCAGACCGAGAGCCCTATACGCACCAGAAAGTGAAATAATCAGGACCACCGGTGAGGATTAGTCATAATCCTTCTATTCAGCTTATACAATTGTTTTTTCAACTAGACTACACTCTATTAGAGGTGCTTAAGGAGGAGCCCATAAGAGTCACCATTCGCGGTCTCAGAAGGACCTTCTATCCGCCCATCCACCACGCCCCCATAGATAATTCTCCGCCAGAGAAGAAGATGGCTTTGGAATGGGTGTATCCTTTTTCATCCAATGAATTTCAATCACAACATTTTTTTTTCATTTCTTGTTTTCCTTAATTGTTACTTTTAGTTATGGTTATCGAGGCACAGACTCGAGAAGAAATCTTTGGGTTCTTCCAACTGGAGAACTTCTTTACTTCGTGGCCGCCGTCGCCGTAATGTACGATCGGGACGAAGAGACGCAAAGACACTACACAGGACACACCGAAGATATACAATGGTGAGTCTTATGCAACTTTACTTACATAAATTCATATGTAAAGACATTTTTTGTATCAATATTGAAAAAAAAAAAATCTTATTTTATTATATTTCTGATGTGTATTTCCATAAGATTTTCTAATTTCTTGGATAATTATTTAAAATAATCATATTTTTATCTTTTTTTTAAATGATGCTAATTTATATTTTTGTTTAAACTGCTTAAATTTCAAGCGAATCATTTCGTATTACAGACAAACTTTTGATATTAGTTTTAAATACGTTCTGCATATTTTTTTAGCATGGATTTGCATCCGTCTCGCGAGATGGTAGCTTCTGGTCAGAAGGCAGGTCGGAACCGGAAGACTCAAGCGCACATCCGCATATGGAGCACGGAAACATTACAGACTCTTTACGTCTTCGGCATGGGCGAGCTGGAGGTTGGAGTAGCCGCCGTCGCCTTCTCACAATTGGTGCTCTTTCAAATACTATTATTTATTGTTCTTTCAACTAACTCTTTCTTTATTAATTTATTTTTGGTAGAACGGTGGTAGTTATGTGTTGGCGGTAGATGGCGGCAGGGAGAGCATTCTGTCAGTATGGCAATGGCAGTGGGGACATCTCTTGGGAAAAGTTGCGGTGAGTATATCATTTGTAGTTTATATCAGCAATTCTCAACATATGGGTCACGTTACATTTTTAATGGCAGATATTTAAGCTCGCCAAAAAAATAACAAATACTACATAAGAAATTAACTTTATTTCTGAACAATTTAAAGGACTTTAACAACTTTATAAACGAATGATCTTTCAGAAATTGCGATATTTCCAAATATGATCAGCTTTTACAGCATGACTTTTTATTTTTTGAGTCATCTGTTTATCATGTATAATGCAGTACAACCAAAAAATGAATATCCTCAAATATCTTAAGTAAAAATGTTTGGTCACGCGGCAAAAATATAGAGAAACCCTGGTTTATGTATGTAATTATATTTACAAACATTTTTCAGACGCTGCAAGAGGAATTAACCGGAGCCGTGTTCCATCCCCTAGACGACAATCTTCTGATCACGCACGGCAAAGGTCACTTGACCTTCTGGAATCGCCGGAAGGACGGTTTCTTCGAGCGCACCGACATCATCAAACCGGTAGGGTTTTTGCGTTTCCTTTTTCTTTTCGTTATTTTTGTTGTTGTGTGGTTTTCGTGTTTTAACGGTCAGATTTTGAAGCCATCGCGGACGCTGATCACCAGCTTACAGTTCGAGCAGGACGGCGACGTCATCACCGCAGACAGCGACGGCTTCATCACCATCTACAGCGTGGACAGCGACGGCGCTTACTTTGTCCGAATGGAATTCGAGGTAACTTTTAACATAACTATTAGTTATATACTGGAAGTTAATGAATTCTCGATTTAGGCTCACAACAAAGGAGTCAGCTCGTTGGTGATGTTGTCTGAAGGAACGTTGCTATCAGGAGGAGAGAAGGACCGTAAAATAGCTGCATGGGATTCGCTGCAGAACTACAAAAGAATCACAGATACTAAGGTTTAATTTTAATTTTGTTTCTACAAAGATGTCTTGATTTTTTGTTGTTGTTTAGTTGCCTGAAGCGGCCGGTGGGGTGCGCTCTATCTATCCGCAAAGACCAGGAAGAAACGACGGTAACATCTATGTAGGAACGACCAGGAATAATATACTTGAAGGCTCTCTTCAACGAAGATTCAATCAAGTGAAGTTATTGTATAAATCAATCGTTTCTTTGTAATAAATAGTTTTCTTTATGTATAGGTTGTGTTCGGGCATGGACGGCAGCTGTGGGGTTTGGCTGTCCATCCGGATGATGAGCTCTTTGCCACCGCTGGTCACGACAAGAACATCGCTCTTTGGCGCAAGAATAAGTTAATTTGGACGGTGCAGGTGGCCTACGAGTGCGTTTCTTTGGCATTCCATCCATTCGGCGTTGCTTTGGCTGCTGGAAGCACAGAAGGACATTTAATCATCCTCAACACGGAGACTGGGGCAGCTGTAGCTACGGTCCGCGTTTGCGGTTCTCCGCTAAACTGTGTCGGATATAATCCAGGTTCGTTTCTTTACAAACTTTTCCATTACATCTCTTTAATTTCGTATTAATTTTCTTTTTAAAGCTGGAGACATGATCGCAATAGCTTCACAGAATGGCAGCGTGTATTTGTTCCGCGTAAGCCGCGACGGATTTTCTTACAAGAAGTCCAATAAGATTAGGGGATCACAGCCGTTAATGCAGATGGATTGGAGCACGGATGGAAATTACGTTCAAACCGTCACTGCTGAATATGATCTTTCTTTCTGTAAGTACCCATACCCAATCGTTAGCAATTCAATTATATTTGATTATGAAGAAAGAAAAAGCGCCACTTATAAGTAGGAATGTGTTATTTATATCTTTGGACACCATTGATTGCATTTACGATAATTAATATATCTCAGTTTTCGAACATATTTTCTTATAAGAAGTAATAATGTTGATGATTAAAAAAATAAAAATAGACTGTACCTTCATATGAACATTATGTACGTTAATTCGAATGAATGTTAGTCTTCCATTATTATGTTTTTCAGCTTTTGTTGGCTGAAGTCTACTCTTAAATTTTTATATTTGGTAATATTCTGCAACATTTGATATATACCTTCAGTAAATTTATTGCTTGACTATGATTAATGTTGTTTTCCTCTCTTTAGGGGACGTAAAATCTTTGTCGCCGGAGAAGAGTCCCATCGCTATGAAGGACATCAAGTGGGCCACGCACAATTCTACTGTTGGTTTCCTGGTGGCAGGTATCTGGAACAACCGATTCTACCCGATGACGTCCATCATCAGCACTGCAAGTCGATCGGCCGCTCACGATCTTCTGGTCTCCGGGGATACCGACGGTTACATCAGGCTCTTCAGGTACGTTACCTTCTTACATCTTATCCTAAAATTAGAGTTATATTGAAATCGTTTCTATACGCAGATTCCCATGTTTGAGCACAAAAGCCGAGTACAACGAGGAGAAGCTGTACAGCGGTCAAGTGGCGTGCGCGAGATTCCTCTTCAACGATCGCAACATAGTGACCGTCGGCGGAACCGACGCCGGCTTGATGCTATGGGAGCTGACCGAGGAATAGCTCAGACACGGGCCCAACGCCGGCCCGCAACCGCCCCCAATCCGACCCTGGGCAGCAACCACGAACTCCAGCGCCATCTGTATGCGCAATCTGAAACTGCCCAACATCCACAACCCTCACCAAAGCTCCGCCACTCCATACTCCTCCTCAGCCACCTCCTCTTCCTCATCCTCCTTCTACGCAGCCACAGCCGCCTACAACTCCGAATCTGAATCGGCCGACTTCGATGCCCCATTCGAAATTCTCCACCTCAACTGTTAATTTAAAATACATTATCCAAAAAAATACATAAAACACAAACACACACAAACAGTGCCATTTAATTTTACCAAAAAAAAAATACATCATTAAATCCATGATACAAACATCATGCATTAAACCTCTTGCCCAGACGAAAAATAGGAAGAAATTATGAAATGACAAGAAAAGAACAAGGTAAACAAAGATTCAATTTCACTATAATCTCTCTTAGATCCTTAATAACCTCTTCTTATTATTAATAGTTATTATTAATAAAAAAGTATATATATTTACTAATTATGAAATTAAAATTAGACATAAGAAAGATATTTTTCTGGTAAAAAAATTAAACAAAAAAAAAACAAACACTTGTATGATGATGATGAAGATAAAACTGCCAATAGATTTATAGTCCTTGATTCCAAACTAATTACGTTAAGCGCGAAACTGATAGTTTTAATTATTTTTATTATGACACGCGTTGATTTGTTCCATTCCTCTCTTCCGTTTCAATTTAATTGTTGTGTGTAGTAGGGCTTGTATTGTAATGAGTGAATGAAACATCATGTAAACAAAAACCAAAAAATGTTCGCTTCCTTCTAAAACTACAACAAAAAAGAAGATATTTTATAAGAAATAAAGATTATATTGGCTTCGTTGACAAATATATTATTGATTACTATTTTCGTTCCATCTAGTCTATGTATTTCTGTAGTAAAAATTAGTACCTTTTCATTCAAGTAGTTTATTTGTTTTACATTCGAGATTTAATTACAACAATTAGAAATCTTAAACCTAGACTTATAGAAACTATTTTTTAAACTATTTGTAAAGATATCAAAACATACAAAATTCTTATAATATTTCCGCGGACACCCTAAATATTTTTCGAGGTCCTAGAGGGTAAGAATAGCTGGGCAAGTACTTAATACTTACGGTCAAATTAACCGTATTATGTAATGCGAAAATACAGTAACCTAAGAAAGCATAACTTTAGAGTTCTCCGACCATTTAAAAAATTGGCTTGATAGTAAATTAATTTAATAGTTATTTTGTTCTAATATTTTTGAAGTTACTTCTAAGCAGAAATAGTTTAAAAATGTGTTAAATTAAAAAAAAAATCAATATTGAAGAAGACAGTCGAATTTGTAGAAAAAAAAAACTAATTGATGCCACTTCTTTACATGAACGTTTCGTAAAATTGCACTAGCATTTAGATAAATACTATTATTCTTTAACTTAAATATTTCAAGAATTATCCCATGTTATACTTGTATTACTTATCAATAATGTGCAAGTTAAATACAAAAATGTTCGCATAGTCCGGCTTTGATCAGTCCGGATTAACTATAATTTAATATATTCAAAGCAATCTAAATTACATAATAAAAATAAATTCGAAAAAAAAAAACAAATTAGTAAACAAAATTATTATTATTGTTTAGAGTCAAGTCTATTTTTGTGCGTTTTGTTCTTATACGATTTTAAAGTACTCGATTAGTCTGATTTTAAAACAGTTCGTGATATTGGCGAAACCATTTACTAAAATTAATGACAATTTCATTCAATTTTAGAATTACAGTATTAAACAAAACTAATGGTTTATTTGTTAATGCAATCATATACATAGTAGGAAGAATTGATGGGTTTGTTCAGTATTGGATAAAAACAACAGTTTAACACTAACATGCGTAATTTATTTAAATTTTTTGAAGAAGGAAGTGGAAGTAATTACTTATATATTTTAATTTTGTTCATCGTTTGGTTTGGTTTTCGGGTCCGGGTATATTTGGCAGGTGATCAGCGGCCGTTGTCGATCATGGTTCTCGGTATTCCCATGATGGAACTAGTAAGTTCCGAGTTGCGCTTGTTTCCAATGCCCACGTAGACGTTGGAATCGGTAAGCGGCGGATCTCCCAGCGCGAACCGTTCCATCAGCCAATTGGAAAAGCGACGGCGACCCGGATGCGACTCCAACTTGACCGCAGCCCAAAGTTAAGGTTAACTATTAAACGTCGGTTATATTTGACAAAAAGCTGAATGTAAAATAACTTACGTTTCCATCTAAACCAGAGGAGGAGTAGACGCGATTCCAGAAACTGAAGAGGAGCAACATGTAGATGAGCGATTTCAAGAACAAACTGTAAGAAATAGATGATGTTTTTTTAATAGTCTTATATTTATACTTACTTCATCGTGAATCCTTCGGGAACTGTGGGGATCCAAGGAGTGTTCCTCGCTTTTATCCCCTATTAGAGTTATCCGCGCATCATCGAATCCACGTCTGTATCAGACATTCATCGTTTATTTATAAAAAAAGCAAGGATGTAAATGTGCTGAAATCGATGGTAAATAAGTAACATGTAATATGGAGAAGAGTGAGTGTTTGTGACAAAATAATTGAAGACGCCAGACGCAGACGGTAATGCGTAATGAAATAAGCATATTTCATGTTTTTTTTTAATTATTTTTAAATGTTATTTTTATTGAAAATAGATCTGGATTCGAAATGTGCAATTAAAATGCGTTTATATTATTCTGCGGTTTATCGTATAAATCGTCGTCGAGGACCATGAGGAACATGAAACTGAAGTAAAGCGCCGGTGCGCTAAGAAGATGCCAAACGTCGTGAGTATCGTAGAAACCCATGAGGATGCAGGGCTGGTTAAGTTGGCGGGATTCTGCTGGAGTTGCCGACCAGACTGTGGAAGCGTTCAGGAAGAAGTAGCAGCCGAAACCCCAGGAGACGGCGGCCAGCAAACCGTAGAAGATGGCCTCAAAGCAAATGCGCTCGCGGTATATCAGCTGAAAAATAATATATGTAGCTAGATTTTTAAACCATTTTTTTTTCTCATAAATTTGCAAAATTTAAAAAACCGGTTATAATGTAACATTGGAATTCGAAAACCGATTTTTGTTTGGTAATATTATAATTTGATCGATTTCCTTTTTTTGTAAAACCGGTTTAAAATACCTTAGTTTGCTTTGAAATTTTTAAACCGTTATAGTGAATCCGGACTAATTGAAGCTGTTTAAATACATTTTTTTGTAACTACATTTTGTTTTATGATATTCTAATTTGAAAACCGGTTTTTTTTTATACCGATTATAATACTCAAATTCAAATACCGGTTTTTATAGTTGTTTCTTTTAATCAATTACCTTCATTACGCAGTAGAAGATCGCGTAGACAATGGCGTTGAGCATCAGGATTCCCAGGAGGAAGGTGCCAAAGTCTACCACTTTTGGATAGAGAGCTAGTCCGGCGATTGCTACGAGAAAGTTGATCACGTTGGCCACGGTCACAGTTATGAAACGACCTGCAAATATTTCAATTGTTTTTAAAGATATTCTGATTTATTGCATACAGATTTACAGAATACTTAAGGAAAATATTTTATAATGACATAAAAATAAGTTTTTCTTACATTTGAAATATTAAAGTTTTCTTTGTAATTTAATTATTGAAAAAAGTAATTAAATTCAAATTTTCTCATATATTTCTCATATGCTTTTCAAGGCGAAATAATATTATGGTTAATAGACTTTTAAGAATAATTATAACTTATGTAATTATTTGATAACAACAATAATAAAGTTGCAACAGTCATAAAAAATAAGCACATTTTGATAATTTCAATTATTAAAACTTATTGCAAAAGACTATTGACCATTGTTTTCCGCCTAAAATTTGTATAACTTTATTTTCTTTAAAACTGATATTGCAATATTTTGCTTAACTTTAGTAACGTTAAAGTTAAGTCAGTTTCTGTTCTGTAATTATTTAATAATTAATATAAAAAAATGTCTTAAAGAATGCTTTTATTGTATTAGAGATCGGATATGTACATAAAATATATAATGATTACTTATAATAAATGTAATTGAATCGATTTTGATGATTAATCTCATTCATTCTCCTTCAAGTATACATTTTAAGTTGTTCATGTAAAAGAAGGTTTCCTTGCACAGATACGTGTGCATCTTCTTAAAATGGTTATACAATTTATCTTGGCGTATCATCATCTTGTTAAGCTCTTGATAATCCATATTCTCGTGGATTCTTTCATTACACAGTACCACAAACCGCTTCAGTGGCTGCGCAATAGATAAAAGTTCATCAATCTGCTCCAACCACTCTGCCAAGTCGTAAGATGCAGCCTCATCTTCACCAAAGCCGGTATTAGTAATTAATTGCGTCGAAATCTCATCTTTATATCGATTTAAAATAATATTGATTTTGAGCAACTCCTCAGCGAATACTTTCCACACTTTCAACTCAAGATTCACCCTCTCTTGGGTCCACGACGTTATATTCTTCGTATCGCACAGCATGTTGTAAAAACTGCACGTTGTAGAAAGATTGTCCACATTTTTCCGCATCCTGGTGAAAATACGTCTCTGTATGTATTCGTCGTTCCTGATGGATATTTGCTGGTCGATTCTTAATTTGCTCAAAGTAAAATTGGTTCCGAAGGAATCCAACTTTATACGCAGCATTGGTAAACGCATCCTGTCGCTGTTCTAGTTAATCAACAACTGAATGTTCGATCACTCGAAGTAGAGATATTTATATCCAGAAATGTATCTGATTCGAATACGGGTAAGCTTTGATTTTTTTTTATATTAATTACCAATTTTCTATAAAATTTTATTTCATTATATTAAAACCTTGTATAATTCATTTAATTCTCTAATAAATCTTATTTAATTTTGTCCAAAATATAATTAATATAACATTATGTTATATTAAATGTTCTCGTTTATTTCTTTTTAATGACAAAACTTAAATATTATTTAGAAAAGAACGAAAATATTTATTTGCGAATTGTTCCATTTACATTTTGTAAATTGATCGTTTATTCTACTTGACTTTAAGTATCTTTTTGTGCGATTTATTTTTTTTATATGTATTTAGTTCCTCAATTAGTCCAGTTTTAAACAGTTGCTGGAACGCATTACCCGCACTATGAGAGGTATTTCTGTACACAATTATATAATTATAATTAATTAAAAACAAAAATATGAAATAAAATATACATAAATTAATTAGATATTAATCACACAATTACATAAAATAAACATTGTAAAAGTTGCGTTTTTTCATAAATTGTGTTCAGTCATTTTTTAATAAATTAAATACTTAAAATATATATTAATATAAAAACAAAACAAAAATATAATATAATTTTAAATTGCTTTTTTCTTAAAGATAAAACATAAAATTTAATATACATAAATTTAAACACAAAAAAGTAATAATTCTATTAAAAAGCTAAACTAATAATTCTTCTTTAAATTAATTTTTCTGATTTAATATTGCACTGAAATCACTTTAAAGTAATGAACATTTTCTACACTAAATAGTCTTTTTCAAATCTTCTTTTTAGTAAATAAATGTACTGTACAAAATTTTAAAATCATTTTTTTTTATATGCAAAATATTTTCTATTAATAGTAACTGATATTTGTATACAAATATTTGTATTTATATATGTTTTTATTAGAAATCTATATCGCATATTTATTTCGACAGAAATATTTCTTTTCTTATTACTACTAAAGTCGTGAAATGAAAAGTAGAAACCGAAGAAATGTTAAACAAAATATATATTATTAAATATAATGTGTTTTTTTAAGTAATTAGTACCGTGATAAGTAAATCTAGAGAATCTAAAGAAAGAAATATTCGTTTTCTTGAAAATTACCATTGGATTTGGTGAAGGACATGAATAAAATTCACGTGTTATTAAATGGTTATAGAGAACAGATTCATAAGCAAGTTGTTAAAAATATCACTCTTAAAGATATTATAAATGATTAAAACATCACTTTAGAGAGTATAAAGTGGTTGAAACAAATTGATGTCGCCATTTCATTGAAGGACAAGTTGCTAAGGAAAATATATCCGAAGACAACGAAACAACGTTGATTAAATCGTGAAATGAAAAGTAGAAACTGAAGAAACATTAAACAAAATATTTATTATCAATTATATTTTGGATTAAAGTAAAAATGTGTTTTTTCAAGTAATATATACTGTGATATGTGAAATTTAGGGAGACATAAAATATAAATATTCGTTTTCTTGAAAATTTGGCAAAGAATATGAACAAAATTCATGTGTTATTAAATGATTATAAAGAACAGATTTATACGCAACTTGTCAAAAACTATCTTTTTTAAAGATATTACAGATGATTAAAATATCATTTCAGATTGTAGAAAGTGGTTGAAACAAATTGATATCATAATCTCATTGAAGGATGAAAGAAAAATTGACTGAACAAAACAACGAACATTTTAAAAATATGTTAAAATTGTTGATAAGTTTTCACTTCATTTTATGGACAGTGTATTACCATTTACATTTATGTTTTAAAATGAAAATAAATTATTTATATATTTGTAATATTTATTTTAATATTAATAAAAAAAAATATATAAATCAGAACTAGTTTTATGAATTCCATCTACAACTAGTAAGTAAACTAGCCTACTCGAAATATAGAGTAAAATAAGTTTATGTATCATCCGTCCAAAAAATTAAATATTGCTTAACTTTAAGTGAAAATATGAAAAACCTATACGAATATAAAAAAAATATGCCATTCTTAAAATTTTGAGATATAAGAAAATTATTTTATTCCCATGATAACAAACACATGTATGTTCGCAATGTTTCATAAACAAAAAAAAATCAAAGATTGTTTGATGATCTGAACAATTTAATTAAGTCAATAGTATTGTGTAGATCAAATTAGAAATTTTTTTAATGATATGATTATGTGTCTAAGCGAAAAGCTGGTAAACAATTGCGAATTGCTTTTTTAGATAAATTATTCGTTTGTATAAAAATATAAAACAAGAATCAAAGAAGCGAGTAATGTGGAAGAAGTAGTAAAAATGTGAAAATATCATAAATAATAAGTCTAGGTAGAATGAGAAATATAAAATTAAGGATAAATATTGGGTTGTTGCATAATTATCGGGCGTTTTTTGTTAGTAAAAATTGCTGTTTTGTTTTCTTTTTTAATAAAAAAAACTAATTTCAATTTAAGATAAACGCTAGACAAGTATTCGACAAAATATGTCTAGAAGTTGTATTAGAAGAAAAACATTCAAGAAAAACGATATGAAGTTATTCAATTCATATCTTAAAATGTGTTTTCAATTTTATGTACGTTCATTGTTCATTTAATAAAACTTTTCATTGTTTGAAAAAAAAAATCATTTTCTTTACGAAAGAACTTATCCTTGATATTTTATCATTCAACGAATTTGTTAATAAAAGTATGACAGGAATTTCATTACATCATTCGTTGATTATTATTCATTCATTAAATTATTATCAAATTATCTGCATTACCCAAAACCCATGTATTATAAATTATCAATAAAATCTAATAAATCTATTATACTATCAAATCATGATGACACGATTTATCGTATTATCAAGCAGCTCGAGATAAATATTGAAAAATGCTTATGTTTTCAAGTATATTTGCAATCGTATCAAAGCAAAAAAATGATGGATACACATAATATTTCATCATTGATTGTCAAATCTAGAAATCCACTTATTATTAGCGATTAATGAATTATATCATAAGCAAAGTTTTGAATATCACATTAAATGTACCTAAATGTTTTTTAATGTACCTAATTATTATTATAAATAGCAGATAATTATGTATGAGATATTTCACTATTATTATTATTATTAGATTACGACTTAATAACTTATGTCATAATTTGATAAAAGATGTAAATAGTGATGCTATATTATGCAAGAGTTTAGCTAATGCTGATGGTGGATGGAAATTATTGCAAATGACAAATAAAATATAATGTAATCATTGCTAAACTTTACTCATTTTAGAAATGATGAAATTTAATGTAATTTAGATAATATAATATGATTATTTTTTCTTTTGGTTATAGACTTATTTATTCCATTAAATTATTAATATTATCAACCCACACTGTATTTAATATTTTTTATTTGGTCTGTGTTTCGAACTAATAAAGAAAACACAAAAATATCTTTATATCTCAACATAGTCTTATTTTAGCTCGATACACTTTTCCTAGCGATGTTTAGTAACTTCGATATCCTGTTTATAGTGAGAACCGTTGAACTCTATAAAATAATCAGCAGACTCCATCTCTTCATTGTTGGCAAATCTTTTACCACTAAGCCATTTTTTAAGTTTCGAAAGAGAAAATAATCAGAGGAGGCTAAATCTGGCGAATATGGTGCGTGAGGAAGTTCATTGATTTTGGCCATCGCGATAACTGTTGTGTGAACTGGAGCATTATCTTGATTTTGACCAAACGCGGCACCCATCTGGCACAGCTTCCTCCAAAATTTCAGTCAATATGCAATGTACAGGAATTTCTTAAATGCCTACCATATTTGCTGGCTCGTGCACATTCTGCCGGCGGATATCCAATACTATTTTATAGATTTTCTATTTTATTGATTTTCTGCGATGCTCGTCTTGGCAGCTCGTACGATCTCTACCACCTAATATGTTTTTATTGAAATCGAAGAAGCACACTCCCCAAGTGTAGTATCTAGCTCGGCTTTGATATTGATTGGATTGACAGCTTTTAAATGAAAGTATTGTATCACATAATAATGACCAATTTTTTCCATGTTTAAAAATTCATGGACAGCGTTCACTATTAATGTCTGTCAAATACTAAACAACGTAGCGTCTTCAAACTTAAGCTTTATAAGCTTAATACTTTCTAACATAGTAGTTTATTTCAAACAAAAACCGTCATTTATACGTGAGGTCGGGTACTTCTGAGACTGGCCTCGTATTTATAATTTGCATGCTTTAATTTAATTAAGACGTGAAATTTACTAGACTTTAAAACTATATCCCGCATTACTTTTTAATTAAATTTTGTTGTTTCAATGTTGTTATTAAGTAAATTTTAAAGCATCTCTAAAGACTTGCCTAAAGCTAAACCTACCTATGCGTATGGGTTTTAATGCGCTCGGCACCCTTCGATCATTTCTGTACTCGCTGTATATGTGCCTCATCCCCTTGACAACGTAGCTGAAGAAGTAGATTTTTAGGGCGACGTAGATGCAGAAAGCAATGTACGCCACAATGAATATCACCATTATGGCCATAGAATTGAACAGGATACCGAACATAGCTAAAAGAATCACCAATATATAAACAAGTTTTTTTTTTTAAATATATGTAACTTTTAATCGATTACCCAAAACTACGGCGAATCCCAGGACTGCAAAGGTGCTGTAAGCGCTGGCGTTGACATCCGGATGTCTATTCTGGTACAGCTTAACCATAATGAGGGCGGCCATCACATACATAAAACTGGTATCTTAATTTTTCAAGCATTAATTCATTTTCTTTTAATAGTTTCATTTAGATTCTTTACCAAATTGAAAGTTGGATTGATTAGGGCAGATGTGGTAGCAGGCGGAAAGGACGCCTTCGAAGATGAGCGCCAGACCCATGGAGTAGTAAAGGCCGAAGAGTTTTGGTATACCGCATTCCTTGTGAATTGATCATTTTGTTAGTTTAGTTATTAATATATTTAAAAAATTTGATTATTTACCGGTTTGTTTCGATATTTCCTGCTCCTGAAGAACGTCATGCCGAGGAAGAGAAGCCCGAAGAGGATGTAGCCGATGTTGGAGAAGATGTGGTTGAAGTCGGTGAAATACAGCGGATGCGAACATTGGAAGTTGTGGTAACATAGATCCAAGTTACCAGAGTAATTCACCGCCTGCATTATAAATATTATATGTAATTAGATGGCGTTGCTATGTTAATGTTAGTTCATTTACTTTATTAAATTGTAAAACCGGTTTTTAGTATTATATACTAAAATTATGATGTAAAAGTTAATTTCTTATTTAATTAAAAAGCTTAAAATTATTAAAATAAGAATAACTATTTTGTCTTTTGGCAAAAGTTAGAGAAACCAGTTTTTTTTTTGAAATACTGAAATTTGAAAACTGTTTTTTAAGGACTATTTTTGTATACCCGCTGGTAGGAGATCATCAGCTGAACAACTGGAATACCGTAGAAGATGGCAATGTTGAGGATGTGCCAGGAGTAGTTGAGCGATTTCTTCCTGTTCAACTCGGAGCCCTTGTAAATGAAGTCGATGACTTTCGGTTCGGTCTTGGCGTGGTAGCTGTCGGTAACATCCTCTGGTAAAACGATTTCTGGTCGTCGCGGTTCTTAAAAAAAATAATTTATTTAAAGCGGAGATTTCCAAACTTACTTCTTTTGTGTAGAACTTCTGTAATAACAGTTTATATTTTGATAAAATATCATTAGAACTGATGATTTTTTTCTTTAACTCAAACTGTGTATCCTTTGATCTGTACTACAAAATTACTTTATTTACAAAATCAATCAAAACTATTTTCTAATCCAACAGTTATCCAATCATAATCCAACAGTTACCTATGGGTGGCAAAATGACATCTTGTGTCAAAGTGTCAACAATTTTATATTATAAACCATCAGAATTTTCATTTTCGTTTTCGTAGTACAGTTTGGTAACCCCTGTTATAAACAATTGGAATTACAACTGCAAACAGGTATATTGGGTCACGATCCAAAAAGGTTGACAAACGCTGTTCTAATGCAGATAGGCATTTTACTTATCTCCTAATTCAGTGATGACGACACGCCTATGACACACATGTGGTGACACGGTAAAACATTTTGGGTGACACAGCCAAAAACAATTATAATTTATATACATCACATATGGAAAAAATAAAGAAGTGACACGGAGTTAAACTATTTTTCGGAATTTTGACACTCCGTTTCCAAAAGATTTGCCATTACTTCCCTTATCTAACTTTAATAATACACCGATCCCTTATTGTTATTCATTAGCCCTGACTTACTACTAACACTCTTTTGCATCATTCCAGCGCCGACCACCAGAGAGTAATACTGATTTATTATGTTAATTGCTTACCTTTATATCGCTCAATATTTTGGTGCTTGCCCAAGTAGAAGAACGCAACGGTGATGATGACAAGTAGGATGCAGACGACGAGCACGGAGAAGAAGACTACGAGGACAGCACCCACGTATTCGGTGCGCGTTTTCCCAATCTGGACTCGAAACGTCGCCAACGAAGCTTGCTTGTTCTCTGTGACAGGACGGTCTTTTGGTTGTGGCAGAGACCCGCCGTGATTGCAGTCATAATTGTCACCTTTGGAGACGAACACCAGGTAAAAACCCTCAGGGAATGCACTTTTCTATAAATCAATAATAATAATTATACATTTATCACTAAAGAATATATAATCAGTTATTCAATGAAATAATCACTGATATAATAGAATATTTGGTATAAATAGAAAAACTATTAGTTTTTTATTAAAAATACTTTTAAAAAAAATCTACCCTACTCCTGTCCAAATTTGGATACTCTCCACAAATTTGGAGAGTCGCCAATGTAGATAATAAAAGTTTCATACTTTTTGAGTTTTTAAGTAAAATAAATCGCAATTACGTAACAATTTTTAAATTTCAAAATGCGCAACAATTGCCCATTATACAAAAATAAAATATAGAATCGATCTTTAAAATTTTGAGTTAATAAGAAAAACGAATTAAATTAAACAGTCATTTAATAAACAAACACAAATATTCAAATAAAAAGCTATACTTTTCAATGTGCCCATTCAAAAGGTAGCTGTTAGTAGCACTATTTTCTGATTACGTACTTAACATTTTATAACTTTTGTTAGGTAATAAAATGAGTAACATTGAACAAAAACAAAATGTAAATAAAGTTTTATAATTTTATAGTTATTACCAAAAAACGCTACTAAATGCTATTTAAGGAAAAACGAAAATTTTAATTAAACTCGTTTAAGCGGATGTAATTTGTGATCATTCATTATCTTCCGAAAGTTAGCATATATTTATTTTAGTATAACACTGATAAACCTTAGAGTAGAGTAAATAGTGAAATAAATCAATATAACCTTCATAAAGTATAATAATTTCAATAATATAGTTCAAAAGATAAGATTAGATGATATATTGTCGATGAATTTTTAAAAATTAACTAAATTGGTAAAATTGTATTCAGTTATAATAACAAGTTAAAACTTAATATAATTAGTCTATATTTATATACATTTTTCAAGTTATTATCATTTCATACAATTATGTCATATTGTATACTTACTTTGTATTTAATAATTAGCTATGCGCTGTTTATATTATCAAATACCTAACTACCAATAGTTAACGTTCCAAATTTAAAATATGTTCATACCTGTATGGTTAGACCACCCCTCGTGCTCACAGTCTGATACTTCCCGTCGTAGACGATGTCATCGTTCAAATCGTAAACGGGACACTGGCGATGAAAACAAACAAAAAAACAAAATTAATTAATTTAAAAAAAACTAATGTCGTTGATGTTGTTTACTATTTTGGGTTGCGCTGAGACGGTGAAGCAGACGTCGTCGTCGGAGGATACGTCGATGAGGACGGTGCGGATTTCGTCGTCGCGAAGTACATTTGGAGGAAACTCGTACAAATGGACGGCGGGTTCGGAAGGTGAAAACCTAGTCTCATAGTAAACATTGCTTCGGATGAAGTAGCGATTGTACGGTGCGGCTCTCAGATGGACGTTCACCGGTGTTGGGCTTGCTGTGGATAGCGTCACCGTGAAGTTGCGACGCGGCTTTCGTCCCAGGAAACTCCGCTTTGCACCGTGATCCTTCTGCTGAAGCTGTCGATCAATCACCGTCTGCGAATCGTAGCAGAGGATGCGCGAGGTGTTCGAGTAAAGAGATGTCCCGAAGTTTGTCTTGACCGGAAGCGGAATCTCCCAGGAAGTTACTCTTCGCTCTTGCTTCACCACCACCAGAATCGGATATCGGCTTGTGGCATCTTCGCTCCATACCTCCACTTTGAATGGATTCATTTCTTCCTAAGCAACAAGAAATCAAACTTGGTAAATACCTTTTAATGTTAAATTACTCGTCATTCTTCTTTTAAACTATTTTTGATACTCAAATCTGCAGATGTACCGTTTGACACGGTACTCGATTTACACGGTATTTGATTTACACGGTTACAAAAAATTGAAACATAAATATTGAAAATAACCTATCCCTCGTAATAATCGATTTATACGTTTTCTCAGTAACTTATCTACCATGTAAAACGAGGCATATTTGTACTCGTATGAATCAACATTATTTTGTCCAATTGTTTCTGCATTTTGTCAACATATACACATAAGATGTAAGATTTAAAATTTAAGCCCAGATGATTTAACCATTCATTATAACATGAAGCAAAACAAATACAGACAATCTTTATAGAACATAATAATAAAAAAAAATATTGCAACAGACGTAAAATGAAATAGAATTAACAAATAAATGAATAATAGTAAATTCAATTGTTAATACTACTTGCATTGTCATAGACTTGAATAATTATCAAAAATTAACAAAACTATCCATTATGCAGTATTGAAAAATAGTGATCAATGTGAAAATTGAGTAAATTTAAGATCGCGGTTGACATTGAGTAGGTAATCTTTCCCGGTGGATAGTTCCATTATGATGATGAAGCAGCCGTCGTGTTACAATATAAATAAAATTAGTAAAAGTTATATTATAAATAACATTCATTGTAATCAATGAGAGGGATAACATTGTTTATGTTGAGACGACAGATCATCATAATTTGGTTCTCTGGTTGTCAATTTTAATCTGAGATCCAAAAGCCTGTTCCTTACTTTGACTAAATATCTACAAATGCTGAAATAGCAACTTCTTCTTCATGTATTTCAGGACTTTCTATGTTAAAACTGTATACACCTGTTTCATATGCAAGTAGAATTATGTTAAAGTACACTTATGTTTATTCTTCAACAATCAGGCTAAAGCTAATTTTTTAACCAGCCAAATTTGTTATAAACTCATGAAGATAATCTTGAATGTTCGGGATAAACATTATATTTAGTATGAATTACTAAGATAGTCTAATGCCAAATAATAATTGTAATATATTTATTTGATTAATATCCATTAATCTAAATTAATCTTATCTTCAAGATATTTACATAATTGTCATAAATTGCAGTCTACATTCTTTTTTATCTGAATTCTGATTATTTAATCGTAGTGACTAATAATAGTAATCATTGAATCAATCGAATTCCAATAAATCTATAAGCTAAGATTTGAATACATTTTTTTAAAGTTATATCGTTTTGTTTCTTACGCTTATGTCTCTGTAGCTGATTCTATAATCGTTGTCTGCATTCAATGAAACGTTGACCACTTCATTGTTTTCTCCAATTTTTTCACTCGTTGCTATAGCAACCACACACGAAATTATCATCACGAAAAGCAACAGTCTTGACATTGTTTGTCTGTTTTTTTAAAACTAATTTTGTGTATAAATAAATAAATTAACAATAAATAAAATATTAGTCGACAACTTAAACGTCTAAACGTGTGGTCGATCTACGCGCTTTCATCGACGTTAATGATGTACGTTTCGTTAGATACAGGTGCGCTTATCTAATCTATCAGAACTAACTACACCTACTTTTCGGACGAGTAATTGTTATTAATAAAATTATATATATTTTTTTTAAATATCTGATGCACATATTATGTAACGCGCTACTGTTCTATGTTAATTCAGTAATCTGTTACGATTTAGTTTTTGTTTTGTATTTCGTAAATGCGCGCGCGTTTTCGTATATAAGCATACTAAGTAGGTTGGCCGCTGGAAAACGGGGCGCGTCGAAACAATATTTGTTTTATCTTCTATTTGTTTCCACAGAAATTCATTTATAACGTTTGATTTGTTTATGATATAGTCATGGAATTGTAAACTACATAAAAGTGAGACTTAATTGTAATGTATTTTATTTTGATAATAACATAAAATCTCGTATATAATACGCATGATCATGAAAAGTTATAGGTGCGTATTACGATTTTTATTCAGAAATTGTAGTCGGCTCTGTCAACATCATACTTACTCTGTAAAAGAAAAAAAAAAGATCATTTATAAACAAAATTATAGTGATCCGCGCGCTATAAACAAAAACGTCTAATGCGCGCATGATATTCACTCTAGTGTAAAGGCGGGCACACAATCCGCAATCCGGTTTTTTTTTATAATTTATAAAGAGCCACACATAGATATACAAATTCATTTTTTTATTTAATGCAATTTAAAAACATAAAATGTAATTATGAAAAAGAAAATAATTATTTCAAAATTTTATTAATACAATTCAAATATAATAAAATCTAAGGACAATCTTTGGTCAAATGTTTAAAATTTGGCGTAAAATTAGTTAAAGTTGTTTTGACTATCCGAACTTCATTGTGAAGTACAAATATTCACAGCAATATGTTGTACCAAAAAACGAAAATAGACGCTTCCTTTAAGTTTTGATATTTTGATTTAGGCAAAATTCAATCATAGAAGTTTTGTGCAGCGTTTGCAGCTCCAATTCCCCAGCTGCTTTTTCAGTAAGTACTATTTCTGAAATTCTAAATTTATCTTTAGTAATGTCACAAATAAATGGGTTCCCGAAATATGCAAATATTGCGGAATGGAAAAAATAGAAAATAAATAAATTGCATGTATTGCACGCATTTACTACGCGCTGTTGTACTGTGGGATTTCATCTGATCGTTTTTGTTAGGACGCCAAAAATCATACCAAAAATAGTACACATATTTTTTTCACTTTATTTAGTCAAGTCTTTTTTACTGCGATTTATATTTGTATCAATTCAGTTCCTTGATAGTGCAGTTTGGAACAGTCCGGGATATTGGCGTAACCGATTAACTGAATTATACGATGTATTATAGTATCTTGTAATTCTCAAATTTTGTCAACTAAATTAATTATAACTTTATTAAACGTAAGGAAAAAAAACGTGTCTAAAAAATGATTTATTTTAATTAATCTAATAATTACAATATAACCATTTTATCAATTTAAATTTGTCTAAATTAATCTTATCTATACGAAATTCGCGTAAATTTCATTATTTACCATAAAATGCATTTTTGTATAATCTGATTAAATGATTCTGATCATTTACTTATCGTCCAATCAATCGAATTCCATTATATTAATAGCTTAGGTCCAAAATTAGTATTAATTGTTTTTTATTTAACGTCATTTAACTGTCACGTCATGTTTTTTTTTATTTTCTTACTTCGTTGCAAAAATATAAAAATTATCAAATAATTTAATTTATTTAAAAAATATTTTTTATTGTAAAAAAAATAATAATAAAGAATATAAATTTTATAAAAAAAATAAATCTGCCTGGTTTCATTAATGAGTCTTCAGATTCAATTAACATTTTCATTAATATAAACGAAAAATAACTAATAACAATAATGTTTTATGTCCCATGCACATGTAATACGTATGTTCCCATTAATATTTATAAAACAGATATTCTATGAAATACTGGTTTTCGATAGTTAACATATTTCAGCTAGTGATTCTACTTATTATATATGTTGTGTTTTTAAATTAACTAATTAATAAATGTATATAGAGTTATTATATAAAATAACATTAAGAAATATTGTATATAAAATATAAAATAACTTAATGCACATGAAAGATTGTATCTTAACAAATTTAAAAATAATATTTCAAGTTTTTAATAATAAAAATTTTCAAAAAATTACAAAACACGTAAATATGATAAAAGCATCATCATGTTTTACAAATAAATATTCTAAATACACCAATCAAATTCGAAAAGCATTTGAAAATTTCAAAACAACCTAAATTTTAATTAAGCAAAAAAAAATTGGTGGCTCTTTTGTGCCGTCAAGTCTCTTTTTGTGCGGTTTTAAAGTCTTCGATTGGTCCGGTTTCCAACAGACATATTTTTATAATTTTATATATTTTTTTTATTATTTTGTACATAAAATCGTGGTATAAAATAGAATTATTATTAAAGCTACATATAAAATCGCCGACAATTCTGCTAAATCGATTGGCAGCGATGGAATTTGATTTGTTCTGGGAATCGTGATCTCACCGGATCATTCACATATTTCATTCCTTCTGATATGTTCATTTGTTCGCTCTTCATCATCTTTTTTTTTCTTATTGCAATCAGAAGGCGTGGATTTCGTCCTGCGGTTTATCGAAAACATCATCGTCCAGCGTCATCAAGAACATAAAGGAGAAGAATAGAGCCGGTGCGCTGACCAGATGCCAGATGTCGTGGGTATCATAGAAATCCAGCAAAATGCACTCCTCGTTCAAACCTCGAGATTGTGCTGGAGTCATCTAAATAAAAAAAAAACTTTTAATATATTGCACTTTTCTATTATAAGTTTGCAATTTTTATTTTGTAATTTTATGTTTAGTTTTAAAAAAATTTACGGTTCTTGTTTATTTTTCTTATATTTTTGTTTTTCTACTTACAGCCCATTGGGTAACAGCGCTAACGAAGAAATAGCATCCTATGATCCAACTAATTATACTGAGCACTCCGTACATGATGGCTTCAGTGCAAATCTTCTCTCCACAAATCAACTATATAATATTAAAAAAAACTCAATTTAATATAAAAACTCAAAGCATATTTGCTCAAACTCGCCTTCATAGAGACATAGAAAATAGCATGAAGAACTGCATTCAGCAGAAGAATTCCCAGCAGGAACGTCCCGAAATTAGTGCTCTCTGGATATGTAGCGAATCCTACAGCAGCTATAGCCACGTTAATAATATTCACAATGATGAGATTCACGAAAATTCCTAAAAAATATTCCAAAATTAAATGATGTAACAAGAATTGCATTAATAATTACTTAATCTCAACGGTCTCAGCGCCTTCAGCACGCTTTTTTGCTCGGAGTAGGCGTTCAACATCCGCTTGATGCCAGCGATCATGTGACCAAGGAAATAGATTTTGAAGGACAGAAACAGGCACAGCGATATGTAGAATATTACAAATATCACCATGACAATAACGCTGTTGTATAATATGCCGAACATCGCTGAAATTCAATAGTTTTATATCTGCGCATCTCATTTGTAATCGTATGTTTAGTTACCTATGAGGACGGCAACTCCGACTATGGAGAAGGTTCCATAAGCACTGGCGTTAATGTCTGGATGACGATTCTGGTATAGCTTTACGGAGATTAAGACAGCCATGATGTACATGAAGCTGGTGTCTGAAGAAAACATAACATTAAGATTTTTATATTATGTACCATTCACATGACTTTCATTTGATGGAAACCCCCAGAAGACAGTTATAATAACAATATCATTACATATCACAAAAAAATATAACATGATCAAATTTTGAACAAGAAAAGTGTAAAATTATATATATTTTATGAAATGTTCTCTTACTTAATTTGTACTGAAATTAATTCCATCTCGAGAAACAACACATGAAAAGTTTTTGGTCGATAATTTGACTATGTTTACATTAATATGAAGATATATCTTTATCAGAAAAACATATTTTTTCTTAAGTTTTTTAAGATTTTACTCACCAAATTGGAAATTAGATTGGTTTGGACATATGTGATAACATCCGGATAAGAATCCTTCGCAGATCAGAGCGAAACCCATGGCATAATACATGCCATATAGTTTAGGAACACCGCAATTCTAGAAATAAAAATATTAGCAACTATGAAGATTAATTTATCAAAAAAAAAGTAGAAATAGTAACTGGTTGAACTTACCCGATAGTTCCTGGTTTTACGGCTCCTAAAGAATGTAACGGCGATAAAGAGAATACCGAAAATTACATAACCGACGTTCGAGAAGATGTGGTTGAAGTCGGTGAAGTAGAACGGATGTGAGCAATAGAAGTTGTGGTAGCACATATCAAGATTACCAGAGACATCAACGGCCTAACGTAAACGTTACGTAAATATCTTTTACTTTTGACTATTTATGTTTAACTTACTCTTTGGTATGAGACCATTAGTTGGATGACTGGGATACCATAGAAGATTGCGATGTTGCAGATGTGCCAGAAGTAATTAAGAGCGCGAGCGCGATTCCTACTGAAACCCGCCCTGATGAAGTGACTCAGTTTCAGCTCACCCAATTCCAGGTAGGTCCTAACCACATCCCCCTTGTAAGTATCATGATCGTCGTCCTCTTCCTCTGTTAATCAAAAACAAATATTAGCTAACGATTTCTTTAATCCGATGGATGATTATTACCGGTAATTTCAATCACATGCTTTCGGTATCTTCCGTAATAGTAGAAGGCAACATTCGCCATGATCAAAAGGGCGCATACCGCGAGGATTACGAAGAACACGGTAAGGATGGCTTCAACATATTCTTCGCTGGTCTTCCCGGGCCTCACCTGAAACGTCACGCGTGTTGTGTTTCTGACTGCAGACACAATCCCCAAAGAAAACGGTTCAACATCCTTGCGTTCATCGCATTCCGCGTTATCCGGTTTCGCAACGATGACCAGGAAGAATCCATCCGGATATCCGCTTTTCTATAAAGTTAACAATTTATTATTTTTAAATAGATTATTTTAAAATTTCAATTTGCTTACCGATAGAATTAATCCGCCTTTGGTTTTGATCGTTTGGTATTTACCTTGGTAACGGATGTCATCATTCAGTTCGAAGACGGGACACTAGAATAAACAAACGCGAAATATTATCATCAACATTTTGAGAAAATCGATTGTTTTGTACCATTTTCTGTTGCACGGAGACCAGGAAACAATCGCTGCTTGAAGAGGTTACATTTATCAAAGTAGTCTTGATGTGATCGTGATCCTTGGGAGAAGTGTATGAGAAGAATACAGGTTGACTAGGCGTGAACTCTGCCTCGTAAAACAATTCGTCAGTGATGAAGAAGGGTTTAACTTCCACGGCCTGGATGAACACCTTAACTCCACTCGTGCAGGTCGTCTCCAAGGTTACAGTGAAGTTCTTTTTAACCACCTGGTGTCCTCCGATTCCTATCAACAGAATGTCAACAAATAAACAAATTGTTATTGCATTCAGTTATTCCGTTCAATCACGCACTTGATGGGAATCTATTGATGACATTCTGCGTGTCGTAACACAAAGTTCTCGAAGTGTTCCTGTATTCCACGGGTTGCCCAATCCTTCGATTCACCACCAGGGGGATTTCCCAAGAAGTGACGCGACGCTCTTGCTTTACTACCACCAGGACCGGGTGATCGGTGTAGGCGTCATCGCTCCATACATTTAACCTGTACGGGTTTTCCGTCTGCCAAAATCATAACAAAATATTAACAAAAATAAGAGAAACGTTTTCCTGGAAAGAATCCAATTAGTAATTCCCATTATAGTTTTTTTTTTGCTCAAAATTGATTAATTCATTTTCCCACGAATTTAATTATATCACGTTATTATGGAAAACAACGCGACGCGACAAAATTAATGGTTGCGAATCTACATTTTCTTTTGTAAATACAATTTACTTTGAATATATTTTTTTAATTGCAATGTTTACTAAATTATGAATATATTGCGTCTTGTTGATTTAACGCAAAAGTTGTTCATGAGTTTGAATTAAAATTCGTATATAATTCGCATATATAAATTTTTATTACTTTATTATAAAATTCATAAAACATTCTTAACAAATCTGAAACTTTGAATAAAAATATTCGTTCTGTAACTCGGGAATATCCATCCAGTTGCAAACATCCATTTACTAATACATTTATCCGCACTCTTTCCCATTGCCGAAATCCTAAAAATCCTTTCCGTGTCCGAGGAACTTCACCAAAATTCGAAATACCAATAACCCACTCAAACCTAAATTGTTCCTCTTCTTTATAGATATAGATATATATATATCCCTTTTCCCTTAAATTTATTTCCAAAGAGACACAAATACATCTTCCTTTCCAAATCCAAATAACCTTCCTAAATTCAAGTATCCCACCCTAATCGATTTCCTATTGTCCTTCAAAGTATGTTCCTTTTTTTCGTTTTTTCAATGGCTGCTGCATTTTTTTTTTTGCAATTTCTTTAATTTCATCTTATTAAAAAAATATTGTATATTTTTATTGTTTTGTACATCATAACTAACATTCTCAGACAGGAAAGATCAAAAGTCCTTATTGAAATATAGACTTTTAGCTTTATTTTTGTTTATATCTTTATTAATATATTAATTAATTCCATTTTTATAAATTTGCTATTAGAATATCCGTAATTTAGAAAACTAAAAGTATATATAATAATCCAATGTTAGTTAAACTTTTAATAAAAAAAAATTGTAAACAAATATATAACTTAAAGCTAAGACCAATTAACATGCATTTGAAACTAACGAAAGGCGCAAATAGAATTACTAATATATTGCGTACCCATCTACAATGCGCATTTTTTTGTTATGACGCAAAAGTTTAACATAAAGTTAAAATTCGTATATATTACGCATCTATAAATATTCAAAATTTTATATTTATGAACAGAACCTTTAAAAAGAAATAAAAATACGAAATATTAGTAAAATGAAAAATATAGACTTTTAAATACAGCTTTTTAAAACACTTATACTTTTCATTTATACTCGAGTATAATACGCAGCCCCACAAATTCAAATCAGTGACTATTGTACGATGATTCTAATTTTCTTATATAAAATTCAGATGAAGCGAAAATTATGCTACAAGTACAATAAATAACAGGAAATAATCCAAATGATAATCATCAATTCCAATGAAACTAATTTCATGCGCTTTTGTTTATTTTCCAGCGAATTTAATTGTTTCACGTTGTTGCGAATAACGTGACACGCAATAAAATCGATGGTTTCCATGGTCACAATTATACAAACAACTTTGATATGAATTAATTTACTATTTTTTAAAAATATATTTTAATTTAGTTTTTTTTAAATCCAATTTAAGAATAAAGTGAAATAAATAATATCAAAGAAAGTATAATAAAAACAATACTACGGAGTAACGGAAGCACGTTGTCGTGGATAGCGTAACGAATCTGTTGCGGTTATGGTGTTTTTCTTTACAATTTTTTTTATATATATTTCAAACAGTTGTGGACAACTATATGATTATTATTAATTTTATAATTACTGTATAAACAAATTAACATGTTAGTAAAAAAAAAGCATATGTCACGTAACCAATATAAAGTAATTATGTGTAATAGTCTTAATTAAGACATTGAAAATTACGATGTAACACACGTTGACCAAAGTGTAAATAATTCTTGGGACACCACGGAACGTCTTTAAATTTTAGTTGTTTTGATTATTTTTTTTGAGACTCACGTCGGATTCGGGGTACATCAGGTTGACGCTCCCGCTGTTCGCGTCCAGGTCGACCTCGATGACCTCGTCGAAGTTGGCGCGGACCGCGGGTTTCGCCGCCGTCGCGACGCCGACGACCACCAAGACAACCAAACAAATCGACTGTCGCATGGCTACTGTTACCATGATCCTTCCAACTGCAGCAACAAAACAAACCGATTCTCACTCACTCTGTGTACGTGTACTGCACTTGCGCTAATATAAATGATTGCCTCTTATTTGCGAAAACCCACTTCCACTCTCGTGCGATTCCCGTAACTCGAATATGAATCACGCAACTATTCGTGATGGGAAATACACGCAACTTTTAATATTACATTCTATATTCGCGCGCATTATTTTTCTACTTTTTATCTCATCGTCAGATAACCCTACCAGATTTTCGATCGCCTCTGATTCGAGATATTAACCATATTTACGAAAATTTTTGTTTCTACTATGTATCAAGGTTTGCCTTGATCTCTCTCGCTCAACAGATTATACCTTTCACGAACCGGTTTTATTTTTAATGTTTCGTCTTCTGCTTAATCGCTAACATATTCATACAATTATGTAATCGAGTTGTATGATTTAATGAAACGGTAGTTTTAAGTTGTATTTTAATCATTGATATTAATTTTATCTTGCGTAATGCGGCTTCGATCAGTCCGGATTCACTATTCAGGAATACCTCGTATAGTGCGGATAATCAGTTCCGCCAATCTTTTGCATAATTTGAAACAGGACAAATTGAGGACTTTAAACCCAAATAAAATAAACTTTTGTATCCCCACTACTATTGTAGTCTTTAAAAACAAACAAAATTTTAATTGGGAAAAATAAATATTTTTGTACGTTTTTTTTAATACATAGTTCCTCGATTAATCCGGTATCAAACAGTCCAGGATATAGGCGGAAACAATTACCCGCACTATGTGAAGTTATTGATGTATTTATGTAATAAACTCGATTAATTTAATCTTCCGGTAATTAATAAGATTTATAATGATATTAATTATTTTTATTAATAATATAGTTGAATTAATTGCAATTTAATGTCGCAGTTTCGATCACATATTTTTACTATTATGTATTAGATTTATATAGAAAGTTTATGTTGGGTTGTCAATTAGATATCAATTACATATTATTTTTTGTGGTATATTACCTTGAATTTCCATTTTAATCTTCATTCTAATAATTATTTTATTTTGTATATTTGTTTTTTTGCTCAGAAAATTACCAATACTTACTATTATATAAATGACTTTTATAATTTAATATAGCGATACTTGCAGGTAATTCATAATAAAAATATGAATCAATATTCTTAATTTTACAGTAATTGTAATACACTCGTAATATACTCGTATAGTGAAATGCTCGTATAGTGAAAAATGTGTACACAAGTTTTAAATGATGTAGCAGGCGCGCAATCCGGGACTTCTCTTCTCTTCGTCACTCGTTATGCGAAACGTCACTCGTTAAGCGAATCATTTTTCTTACAATTAATTTTGCTCGTTAAGAAAATTATTGTACTGTACAATATTGCAAACTTCTAGTTTTGTCGTCTGCTTAATCGATTAAATATGTATATTATTTTGTAATCCATTTAAATTATCAATTAGTTTTATAATTTAATACTAAACCTACCTACCTACAGTCAAATGATTTTATATTTTGGGTTGACAAGAGAGTAATTTCGGTTTTCACAAATAGATAGAATTATGTTAGTTTTGAAGTACTTCTGTCAATGTTATGATTTTTTCCTTTTGTCATTTTAAAGATGTCACTTTTAGCTTCCATTGGAAGCTAATTGCGCGTTATTTTGTTTGCAGCTATTAGTTTAGGGTCAATTTTAACAGAAATGCAAAAATGAACATTTTCGACTTTTTTTATTTCCGTAAAGACAAGAAATCTGCTGAGGCTCACAAAGCGATATGTGAAGTTTATGATATTAAAAAAAGACTAAGTGAAGTTTATAACCAAATCAAAATCATAATTGAATCAGATCGCCATATAACTGTACAAAAGATTGCAAAGAGTTTAAATATATACCTCGCAAGAATTGATAAAGGTTTACTTAACAGAATTAATCAATATTTGTAATATCCAGCTGAAAAGCAATGAATTTGTCACTTTTTGTAAACAAATCATCACAAGTAATGACAAATGGATCGTCTACAATGACATGAATTGAAAATGATCATGATCCAAACGTGATGAACCAGCACAAACCTCAACGAAAGGTAAATTACATCAAAAAAGATCACAATAGCAATTTGGTGAGATTACAAAGGTGTTATGTACTAAACGATAATTTCGGATGATTACTGTCAACGTCTAATGTGTTTCATCGAAACGATGCAAATCCTCACAAATTTTTGGTAACTCATTGAAAATTATTGTACCTATATTTGAAAAAATATGGCAAATGGAAAATATATAATTGATTTCTTACCGACCTAATTGAATAAAAATATTATCCAATTTGATAAATATAGTAAAATATAGTATAGTATAATATAGTATAGTTTAGAAGCAAATAATGAACATTTTATGCGTTTTTATCACATTTTTTTTTACAAAATAATTGTATTAGTCTTATTGTCATTGCAATATCTTATCTGGCATGTTTTCCGTTCACGTGAACCTATATTTATATTTGTGACTGGTGTTGCTTGATCATCTTTGTCTAGCTGTTGCTCTTTTTAGTATTAGGTGGAAAGTTCTTTTCTCAATTGATATAAAAATGCTTGTCTCAATTTTGTTATCTCCCGCAGTTTCTTTATACAAAAGTCATGCATTTAACTCGCTCTAAGATATTGAAAAATTCACATTTCCAAAATATAGATTTTACCATGCATACAATAAAATTTTGTCATATTATCCTTTTTCTGCCAATGCTGTTGTAACTCCCTTCTACTTGCGCGAATTGTTCCAACAACAGTTTTCTTTTGGTAACAGTTTAATTTATATCGACACGCTTGCAAAATATTGTCCATAGATATATTTCTTCCAAATCCTGTATACTGGTTCTACTAAATTGTAAAGACTTAATAGTTTCCGAATTAAGTTTTTGAGAGAATATTTTCATCTTTGTCTAGCTGTTGCTCTTTTTGATATTAGGTGGAAAGTTCTTCTCCCAATTGATTATAAAAAATTATATATCGTTGAACCGATTAAATGACCTGTCATGGTAGGTTAGATAGACTACACATTTTTCTTTTTGTAGTAATAACTTAGTTTCTTTAATGCAGCGTTTTCTAAACTGTGAGGCGTGTCCCAAGGGATGCGCGAATATTAGTCACAGTAAGCAATTTTCCAAATGACTGCTAAAGTTAAAGCTATTTTATGAAATAGAGAGGCGCCAAATTAAATATTTTTATGGGAGGCGTAGTAACATCAAGTTTGGAAACCAGTGGTTTAATGTCTGATTATTAACGCATAATCGCACTAATGACTAATATTTTTTATCATTATCATCAAGTTGTAATCTAATTTCAAATTGTGGTAAATTATTGTTATATTTTTATTGTATCATTTTCAACTTAATCGATTGCTAATGTTTATTAATAGTAAATCGTATTGTTAATATCATTTAATCTAGTGGTAATTTTAAATTATTAATTAAACTTATAATTATATTAATAATTATTAATTTATATACACATAATTTATTTTTTATTGAATTAATTGTAAAACAATGTTTTTTTATTTTGATAATAATGATTAAATTTAGTGTAACAGTCACATAAATAGATATGTTTTGGACAAGCAATAATAAAAATGAAACAAAAGAGAGGGCTTTTCACCGCAGTTATATTTTTATTCTTCGTTTTTTTTTACTTAATGTTATGTAATCCAGTTATATTTTTAGCAGTTTTTTTATATCAGGAGTAAAATTAATCCCTATTACGTTCATAAATGAAAAAATATTATAATATAGCCCCTCCTGTCATTAATAAAATTTAAAAATGTACCCAATTACAAAAAATATACTTCTAATATTATAGACCAGAGGTTTCCAAACTTATTTTTATTTCGACTCCCTTAGAAAAAATTTCAATAAACCCTATGTTTTGTATATCCTTTTTTATATAGCAATACCTTGAAGACAGAGCGCTAAACGAAACAGCGTTATAGAAGGTCATTTTAACACATAGCAAAAATCTAGATAGAAGATGGTATATTTGTTTAACACTTAAATGGTAATTCTGAATCTAGCTACCAGTTGCTGAAAAGCATAGGTTGCTTCTAGGACTAGGACTAACTTAAAATTATAAAGTGTCGCCTTAAATACTGACCGGATAATAAATCTAAACCCGGGGTTATTTCTTCATCCGCTGTATAATAATGCAATATTTAATATATAATAAGTATAGTAGTTATTAATATTAATTAACAATAAAGTGGTTGGACTTTACAAAGATTTACTTAATTGAACTCAGATGCAAGTTGTTATTTTAATCATCATCATCATGTAAGTGATGGTAGATCCTGCAGTTTACAGCGTTTACGTATCAATAAAGTGGTTTGGGAGAATTGTCAATCGTTTTGTTACTGCGCGCTTTTGACCTACACGCTTTCATCTGCGGGTCACTCAATTATGACTATGATTTGGTCATCATAAACTTCAGTAGGACAATCATATCGTTGGTTGTCTTTGTTAAACAATCAATATCATAAACTTTACATATAGTTTTGTGATGAACTTTCTTGCCTTTACACTTGTATTAGATTTACAATTAAACTAATCACCGCTATTAATTTTTCAATTGAATTAGTAGTAATACTTGATATCAAAGATTGATAATCGATATCAAAAATTTATTCTAATTTTGTTAAATTTATAAGTTAGATATTAAAAATATGATTTGTTTCTATTTGTATGCAAATTTTGTTAATAAAAATCAATCAGCAAAAATTTATTAAATGAAAATTAATTATCAATTAGTATAATTTCTTGGATCCATTTTCATCGTCTGAACTAAGTAGCCAATCTTCTTTACTATCTATGATAGGGGAAAAATAAGGATTGAGTCCATTAAGAGGTTAACAAAATTTAGATTTTTTTTCTTACGAATTTTATAGAATATAAATTAGCTATTAATGTCTTCATTTTATGACAAAATTTTTGTGAAAAAAATCTAGAAACTACTCTAAAACCAACTGTTTATAGTTTATCCTTTTATATTTCTGTATATATTTCAATAATGTTATTCTACGATTGAGTTTTAACAATTTTGTTGTTTGTTAAAATAC